TACCGCCCACCATGAAAGCTGGAATGCCCACTAGTGGGCGGTAGGGATCAGGTTGACTACCACTGTTCTAGCCAATCTCAGTCTTTTAGGACAGTAATATATACCAGGAGATAAAAAGAAACATTGCTAGAAAAAAAAGCAGAAAGCCATTTTAGATCGCTGTCAGTAATTATGTCTGTGTAGTCACTAAGTTGAGTTCTCCTCAAAACGATGCAAGTGAAATGTTTTCTGTCTGAGAAAAAATATTTTTATGAAATGTAATATTCAAAACACTATTTTTTTAAAATAATCATTCTTATATTAAGAATGTCAGTAAACGGAAAACCAAAGCTCACAGACTTTGGATAGGCAAACTTCACTACTGAACATCCCTCTCTGTTTACTTGAGTCCCCATAGCAACTCTAGCTCACAGATGGGAATGTGTTTCTTAGCAACCATCCTTGGTAATTACACATAGTTCCACTTCTTTGTCTCCCTGGACTTGGCGAGGACCTGCCTGATTCATGAGAACTCCACTGGCACCTCAGTTGAGACCATGGCAGCAGAGGTGAGACACGTGTTTGTGAGGAGGGCTTAACTTTGTGCAGCTTAGAGAAAAAAAAGTAACCCCTCCCTGCCAGGCAGTTACACACAAAGGTGCCGACGCCCTATGACCTACACAAAGCCACTTGGTTTTTAGGCCCAGGTCACAACAGTAAGCCTTGCTGTGCTCTCGCTGCCAGTCCAGGCCACATGTGGCAGGCATGTGGGGCTCTCCTTGGCCACCTCTGGCAACTGATTTGGAGCCACATCTGGATGGCAACTCTGGGACATGCCTGGCATGTGTATAGCTCGTTTGTCATCATCATTGTCCTTTTCCCAGCCAGAGGTTTTGTAAACCTGGCCAGGCATCTGTATGAGCCTAAAAAGACCAGTGGCTTGTTTCAGGGTCAGAAGGGGCTTGAGGAAATTAGTCCCTTACTTGAGTACCAGACGCCAGAGATGGCTAGCCCCTTCCTCCATTATGGACATGACCCTGAGGAGATTAGCCCTGTGCTCCGATACCTACAACATCCTGAAGAATTTACTGTCTTGTATCAACAACCACCAAAGTCTGAGGCAGAGATTGATACTGCAATCCAGCAGTCAGAGGAAATCAGTCCTGTGCTCCAGTATCTACAACAGCTGGAGGAAATTGGCAGCCACCTGCTTCAACGGGACAGCTGCCACATATCTTCCTGCCCAAGAATTGTCAGCAAAGTGGAGACTGTGACTCAGGTGAAATACATGGGGACTGGCCAAGTCTATCTTTGCAACTTTTTCAGCGTCCTCAGGGGGAAGCAAAGAAAATATTGTACCTATAGTGCTGATTTGGAGGCAGGGAAATAAGGGAAGGTAATAAAGATCTATATTCAGCAAGGAGCCATGGGTTAAATCATAAAAGGCCTTAGTTTTATCTTGCCAATATATCTAAGCAAGTGCAATTGAAATTAACCAATTTCAGCACTGAAATAATGAAGGATAATTTTGTTGGTCCTGAAAATCATTCTCAACATTGCTTATGATGCAGTTATTCAGATCATGCTTAATATGCTACATTAGTTCAGTAAGCATTGTCTAAATATATAGTGTCTATGTGTGTATACACACACATACACACATATATATATACACACATTAATATGTATATTAAGTGAAGTGCAAGGGTAATATTCCTGTCTATTATAAAATGGACAGGATGTGGAAATGCAAACTTAATTTGCTGATCTAATTGTCATAATTATGAAGGTAATAACTAGGCTGGGAATTGTGGTAAGTCATTTCCTGTGTAGCCAACTAAAGTGTCTTTCTTTTTAAAAAAATTTGAATTTATATGCCACTTCAATCACCAATATTATTATAGAAATCATACATGTTAGAATTGGAATTGTTGTATCATTTGATCTTGCTTGTCTGATCTTAACTTTATAATTTCTTGCTCATATCCTTCTGTAAATGGAATTCTAAATATTTGGCCGATCTATTCTTTGTAATGTGGTTAAGGTTTTTTTTAATCTATTCTATTTTTCCACCTTTCTACCTCTGTTTCTATTCCTGAATTAAAATCCTTGCTTTCTGAGTAGATTTTTATGAAACAATTATGCCACTTTATTCTTAGATGCTCCAGATGAAAATATCCTCTATTCTCTTTTCATAGTTTGTTTTAAATCTAAAATCCTTTTGTATCATGCTTAGATTATTTTTGTTTAGTGTAAATAGAAACTTGATTAACTTTATGCAGTGCTCCTAAAACATAAAATACAATTTTATGTAATATACAACTCTATCCTTTTTGGGACTGACAAATTGGGTGGATTGGGTATAACTTTGTAGAAATAAAAAATGAATTCTTACTCACATTTTCAAAAAAATTATAAGCAAGCTCAAGTTCTATACACATATCACTTTGAAAAAGAGGTATATGGAAAAGCTTTTTAGTCAATAGCTGAACAACTTCAGATTTCTATCACTCCTATTATGTTATGTTCTGGCTGATACTTTGAAAGATGTTTACTTTTTCATCACTCATTATTCCTCTGACTTCCTAATAATACTTGTAGTCTTTTTCAGGACAATTGGCTTATTTCTACTTCCAAATGCCAACCAACAAAACTAGTTAGCATGTAACACAATCTTGCTTGAATCTTCATGAATGCATGAAGAAATACTTGCCGTCACTAGCCCCTAATAATAACTTGCAGCTCTTACAGAACATTCCTGTAATTATTTGATCCCATCAATCTCTCTTACTCATTGCCTTTTCCTTCCAGTTCCATCAAATTTGTTAAACTTCATTGTTTTTTCTAGTCCATTATCTGCTTATAGGATGATTTCTGCTTACCGATAATGACATCAGAGAGAACAATGTTTATTTGGTCCAGGATTGATTGTTTACAAATCCATAATTGGAAGACAATTATTTTCTTTAACTACTGGAGAAGGAACAAATAAATACCGTAGGCTTGATGTATTTGGAAAGAACTGGTTAGGCTGAAGAATAGGGGTGGCTACTTTTGAAACCATAGTCAATGGTTATAGGAGAGGAAAGGTCAACCATTGGCCTCTTACCTGTGAAAAATGCAAGATTTGATCCTCTTTCCTCCCTTTTATTTTCACATTTACAGTTCAAGATTTGTTAGCATCAATACACCAATTATAACCTGTTATACATCTTCATTCTGAAAAGCTGTGGTGATGAAGTTCTGTTCCAGTGTGTAGTGGGGAAGAAGCAGGCTGAAGCTGAACAACCCAAGCAAGATGAAATTACAGTTGGTACTAAATGCAGTGGTCCTTTTGCCAATTGGTGTTAAATGCCACAAACATGTGTTTCAGCTTCAGCTCTGGTTTCAATATTCTTCTGGCTGCAGTTTGTGTACTCTGTTGTAGTGTACTCTGCATGGGGTTACCTTTAAAGACTATGCAGCTGATAGGGGGAAGCCATTTTAATAATAAAATACCTGTGTTATGGTAGAGGTTGCAAATATGTTTCTGAGTCAAATTCCAAGACCTGGTGTTAACCAACAAAGTCTTAGATGGTTCAGTTTGCATTTATGTTTCATGAATAGAATTTGCCCAAGGCACATAATCATCTAGAGGCCAGGGGCATGCTTCACGTCCCCACTTCATGAGAGATCAAGAAGGATAAGGGCTCAGAGGGCCTCCTAAGAGACGCTTCCCAGTATTACTTACTTTCAGGTTGCTTTTGGCCTCTTGCCTCCTCCCTTTTACTCATATAAGGGTCCTGTTTTGGGGGTTCAGGTACAAAGATGGGTTGCTCCCGGTTCGGCCCAGATCAGGAAAACCGGTGATAGTGGCAGCGGGAGGCTCTACCCACCTGCCTAGATGCTTCTGCGCATGAGCAAACGCGTCACGCATAAGCATGCATGAGAATGCACTCAAACTGGTAGTAAAAAAATTGGCAATCCACCTCTGTTCAGATAGTAATGGTGGTATTGGGCTACATTTTTGTCATGGTTGGATTTTTTATAACCATAGCTTTACAATTTTAAATGAATCGAGTGATAGAGATTTTACTTGGGAGTTGAGGCCTGTTTCAATTATGATGGTTTTTTGCCTTTTGTGTTATTAGTTGTTATTACTATGCTATCAGAATTTTTATGAATGGTAGATAGATATTTATTATACCTCTTTTAACATTCAGTCCTTTTTACCCTCCTCTGAAAAATAATAAGTTTAAAATATTGGCAATGGTCATGCAGAAATATAATTGGAGCAGTTTCCTCCTTTGTCCCCAGACTCTTGACATAACGATTTGGAAAAAGGAGTCAACTTCAGAAAGCTTATCAGACTTACTTTATGACAATGTTTCTTTTAGTTCAGCATCAGTAGGCATAACGATTATGGGATGTATTTTCAAGACCTGCCCTTCCATTCTGTTTACCTGGGACATTAAAGGAGATTTAATGCTAAAGTGTTTTTTTCCTTTTATTTAATCCAAAATAGAATGCATAAGGTAAAGGTTCCCCTTGCATATATGTGCTAGTCATTCCTGACTCTAGGGGGTGTTTCAAAGCCAAAGAGCCAGCTCTGTCTGAAGACGTCTCCGTGGTCATGTGGCCGGCATGACTAAATGACAAAGGTGTATGGAACATAGTTACCTTCCTACCAAAGGTGGTTCCAATTTTCTATGTGCATTTTTTTACGTGTTTTCCGACTGCTATGTTGGCAGAAGCTGGGACAAGTCACCCTGTTATGTGGCACTAGGGATTCAAACTGCTGAACTGCTGACCTTTCTGATCGACAAGCTCAGCATCTTAGCCACTGAGCCACCGTGTCTCTTGCATTTAGTAATTATGTATTGCATTTGGTAATTATGCAGTATTTTATTATCCTTTCAAAAGTAGTACTATGTATTTAGTACATAGTACTACTTTTAAAAGGATAATAAAATACTGCATAATTTAATACAATACATACAATTATAAAATACAATAGTTGCATCCAAAGCTGATGTTCAAACGTCTATAAAAAAAATCAGGTGATATATTCAGAGTGAATTGCAGATTTAATTGATTCTAAACATTAAATGATGATTTTACTATTTGGACTTGAACAAGGCATATAAATCCTCAGATCCTTATTTGTGCTGGAATTTACAAGTATTTCACATGTAAATAATCCATACTTTATTTCTTTTTGGCTGGGGGCGTAACAGGTGCCCATGGACACAGCCTTCCCAATGCCTGCCACCCCATATCATGTAAACAAAGTGACCTATCGTCCAACAACAGGTAGGTCATATATAATGGATGGGAAGTTTCTATTTTCTCTACTGTTTAGTGAAGACTGATATAGATTCCTAGATTCTATGAGCTATTTGCTGATGTCTGATTCATCTTTTGTGAAACTATAAGGAAAAGCAAAATACATGGCCATTATCCCAATCACTACCTCTAGAGGTACTAGATTGTAATTTTCAGAATTTCTTCCCTAGCCAAGCAGGAATTCTGAAAGTTATATTCCCATTAATCTGGAGAATGGCTGAATTCAAATTATTAATTCAAACCTGGCAATCCATACTTTCACCAAGATTAAATGGTAATGTATGGAGAGACTCAAGACTTGAGTCCAATTTAAATGGTGACATTTTTATAAGCTTTAGGCTTGATCTTGCACCTTATAATTTGATATTGCTGTAGAAGTGTGTGTTTGCTGTGCACTGCTGTCTACTGATAATGCATCCACGTGAAGATACCAATCACCATGTTGCAGGCTTGGAGGTTTTTTCTCTCATCTATGGTGCTACAATCTCCATAAATGTTTGTGCAATAGAATCTGGAATGCACCTTTAATGCCTGATAAATCTTCTTTTCATTAAAGAACAGGGGAAATGGCTATGGGAGCTGGGGGTCTGGTCAACTTCACTGCCAAAGAGATCCAAGGGTGCAGAAGGTTTAGGTTTAGGTTTCATTTTATTTATATGCCGCCCTATTCCCAGCGGGACTCAGGGCGGCTCACAAACCCAAGAGGGGAAGGAAACACAAGAACTACAAATACAAGCATTTAAAATAACCAACAGACACACAATTGAGAGGGGAAGGGAACTCATCAACCCCAGGCCTGCCGACATAGCCAGGTTTTAACGGCTTTTGAAAGCCTGGAGAGAGGTGAGGGTCCGAATCTCGGCGGGGAGTTCATTCCAAAGGGCCGGCGCTGCCACAGAGAAGGCCCTCCCCGGGTAGTAGCCAGATGGCATTGGCTGGTAGACGGAACCCGGAGGAGGCCAACCCTGTGTGATCTAATGGGTCTTTGGGAGGTAATTGGCAACAGGCGGTCTCTCAAGTACCCAGGTCCAATACCATGAAGGGCTTTATAAGAAGAAATAGCCCCACAAGAAACTAGGAGAAGCAATTGAAATTTTAATGTTCATCAATGTGGAACATTTCATTTTAGATGAACTCAAGTGCTAATATGAAAGGGGAAGAAACTCTATTGACTTTTTCAAAATCATGCATGATTTTAGAATTCCTCCATCATTTCTTGCCTTGTCCACATTTTTTTCAAGCTAAGAAATCTAAATGCTTTAGTTTTTCTTCACATAATCATTTCACTCCATCATTTCAGTCAATTAGTTCAGTTTTGTTTTAAGTACCTTTCAAAGTTCTATAATGTATTTAACAATAAATGTTAATATTATTCAAGTCTGATTTTACCAGAAATTTATATAATAACATTATACCATATTGGTGGTTTCATTATCTGTTGTTATCCAAGCAATTCCAGTCAAGGGGTTCCATGAGAGAATTTTTTTTTCTTTTGCATTGTTTTGAAAAAATATTTTGCATAATTCATAAAAAGTGGACTGTGCAATTCCCCAAAATACATCTCTGGAAGATCCTTGATGGTTGAACATCATACACAAATATGGAATTGTTTAAATGATTTTCTTGTTTACTACTCTATATGTCACTTAGCAGATATGCTATTGAATGCCTTTTTGAAAGAAAAAAGGGCAATAAAGTTTATCCAAGCGTGGTATACTTTTCCTGCGTTATAGACTATAATTTTAATACTCTTCAGTTACTATAACAATCAATGTAACCACTTAGAAAGGAGTCAGATTGGAGAAGGTTAAAATATAAAATGATTTGGGAAAGAATATTGATTGGAGGATAGAAGTAAATATCAGAGAAGAGGTCATGACTAACAGGCTGTAGTATCATCTGGAATTGGAGGACATGTAATATATAAAGACCTCCAATATTTTATTCTCTGTCTTCCAGAAAAGCCTGGCTATAAAAGCAAGGAGCAGGTCACATATAACAAGGCTGGGGTGCCATCCAGCAAAGGACTTTCCTCAAGGACCTCCAGTGCAAATTCTTGGGAGAGCTCCAAGAATCTGGAAGGGGATAAAACAAGAGACGAATTCCTCTGCCCAACACCTCCTTCTACACAGCACTTCCCAGCAAAAAGCCACAATAAACACAACCACAATCCCAAAACTCCTGCTGGCCAATATATTCACCACGAATCACCTAAAATATGTGCTGAAAGAAAGGGGAGCTTCGACAGCAAGATTTCTCTTGAAAATCACCCAAAGGGAAGGGCTGCAAGGTCCCAAGAACATGCCAAGTCTGTCCAAGAAAAAGAAGAATCCATCAGTTTTAATTCAGATGACTCAACTGGCAAGTTACATCAATCTGTACGAACTGAGTTGCTCAGCTCCCCCACAAAAAATATAAAGTGCAGCTATGAAGACACTGAAGAAGTCAAGACTGTTTTGAATGCCAAAGACTCCTTGGCTTCAGGTATACAAAATGTTAAAGTGGAAGGGAAGTGCCTTCAGGAAAAGAAAAACAGTCGGATCCCTGCCAATATCAAAGCCAAATATGGCACCACAGTAGTGGAGAAGCTGATATCAGAGGAACAGGTAAACAAAATTATTCCGATTGAGGCTATGATCATTAATAACACTCATAGTTGGTGGTCTTAGATTAGGGGTGTCAAACTCAATTTCATTGAGGGCTGCATCAGGGTTGTGTTTGACCTTGGGGGGCGTGGCCAGGTGGGCATGGCCATCTCAACATCACTCATATTGGAGGCATCTGTGGTGGCTTGAGCACTGCCAGTGAAAACGAGCTCCTGAGCACTGTTTTTGGCTGAGGCAGCCTCCTATAACCTCCTGCCAGTGAAAATGGAGCTCGGGAGGGCTGCCTGTGGCCCATGCATGCTCTGTTTTCAGCTGCAATGGCCTTCTGCAATCCTCTGCCAATGAAAAAGAGCTCAGGGTGGGGGGCGCCTATGGCCCTCCTGAGCTCCATTTTTGCTGGCAGAGGCACTGCAAGCTGATTCTTTGCAGTTTCCAGGGCAGCCCCCCCCCCCCCGGGCCAGATCTAAGCACCCTGTAGGCAGAGATCCAGCCCCCGGGCCTTGAGTTTGACCCCTGCCTTAGCTATTTTGAACTTCAATTTGCATAAGCCTCAGGTGGAGAAAGCCTCAAAGAGACCATATCTTGGGTTGTCTTAAGAATAATAGCTCTACTATCACACAAGTTTATGTGGCCCATTGCTGCCATCAGATGCACAGAATACAGATAATCCTTCACTTCTAACCACAGTTGAGCCCGGAATTTATGTTACTAAATGAGAAATTTGTTAAGTGAGTTTTGTACCATTTTACAACTTTTCTTGCCAGTTGTTCAGTTAGTTAAACAGTTGTTAAGTGAATTTGGCTTCCCCATTGACTTTGCTTGTCAGCAGGTCGCAAAATATGATCCCACAACACTGGGACACTGCAACTGTCATAAACACGAACCAGTAGTCAAGAATCCGAATGTAAATCGTGTGATCCCAGGGATGGGACAACAGTTATAAATTGTGAAAAATGGTCATAAATCATTTTTTCAGTGCTGTTGTAACTTTGAACAGTCACTAAATGAACTGTTGTAAGTCGAGGAGTACCGGTATAGTGCAGATAATGGAGTATTTATATATCTACACACAGCTGTTGGCAAGGGTGAGAAAAGAGGAGAAAATGGTGAAAGGAGAGGTAAAAGTCAGAATTAGCTATTGTCAGTTATATGCAGATATAAAGAAAGCAAGTTAAGAAAGTTAAACATGGTACAGACATTCTTGCAACTAAATGGGGTTAACATATATGTAAAATGTGTTAATCGGACATACAGTTGTGAAACATCCCATTTCCTTCTGGATCCAGACCATGCTATGTGGGAATGGCATGGTTTCTAGTCTTGTGGTTTGTAAAAAATAAATTCTCTGAACTAGAAGGGATTTGGAGCATGATTCGCCCCCTTCCACCACCACCTGACATATTTCATCCAGAAAGCTGTTCAAAACCTTCCAAATAGTTTCCCGTTTGGAAGATTTACTTTTGGAAGCTGCCAGACTGGCCCATAGAACTGCATGGTACAGAAAAGTTTTGATGTACTTCTGAGGCTTTACAAGTTCAACAATCACTCATCTGAAATTAGCATAGGGTATTTGTTATGTTAGATCACAAAGTATTTGCAGAAAAAGCAATATAGAATAGCTATATTTCTGTTCCTGTGTTTTACACATTATATGTCAGGGTTGAGTGAAGCCATTTTGAGACTTCAGTACTGACGTATTTCTTTGCAAAGCTAATTTTGAGATTCAAACGCATTACATTCTATTTATAATAATATCACTGTAGTTTGTATATTAGATAAAAATGTAGATTTTTGTTAATCTAGAGCTTAGAAATCCACTTTTAGAAACACATTCTCTAGTTAGGGCAGCTTTCCAGGTGCTTTCTAAATATGTTCCCATATTGTCCATCACCTCCAACCAACATAGATATAATGGTATCAAGCTGAGAAAAATGGCGCTAGGCTTTTTTATTTTCACCTGGAAAATTATGGTTAACTTTAGTGATGCTTATCTGAACAACATGAACAGCTTTTGATTTTATAGCTCTGTCTTTTGAGGAGACATATATTGCAAGGAATTTATGTAATATAGTATAATGCTAAATATTAGCTGAATAATTAACCAGGGAGTTGGAAAACATAACCTCACTTACATCAAGAGCAATATAGTTTAAAGAAATGTATATTTCTATAAGAAATGCTTTAAGAAATGTTCAGTTATATAACTGAAAAGAGAAAGACCAATGTCACATATATTTACAGTATTGATTTATATTTATTAAAACTATACCACCATTTTTTTTACAATTCACAGTCCTTTGCAACAATAAAAGCACAAAAATACACAATAAAATAGAAAGATAAATAAATATTCAACAATCAATGAGGCAAAATGGTTCAATAAAAACATATCAATTTCAAATCACAGCAATCATATTATCCCATACATATGAAGTGGTGTTTGCTCTCAAAAGCTTTCAGAGTCATTCAAATCATTCAAATTGAGCTTTAAGAGTTCGGCTTTAATAGTTTTATGGAACAATGTCTAATTCTGCAGCGGTCTAGTTTCCATGCAGTGACTATTCTATAAGGAAAGGGCCATGACAGAGAAGTACCAGCCCCAGGCATCCAGCAACCTAAATTTTCACACCGGAGATAAGATCCCCAGCTGGCTCTGGAGAAGATGGTCCTATTAGAACCAAGTCATGTAGTGCTTTAAAATAAAAGCAGTTCTGTACCTTGTACTCTAAAATCCATTGATGGTTTTTAAAAAGTGATCACAATATAGTGTAAAAGGACTGAAACATTTTGCACTAATGAGCAGTCTTCCCACATCTGGGGAGTGGAAATGGTCATTATCCTCTAGGTATGCAACTTGGAATGCAAAGTAGAGATTAAATTTCATCATATCACACACACACACACATATATATATATATTCCAGGCACGGCGTGCTCTTTGCGAAGCTGGACTGATCCAAGGACA